TCCTGGTTTCAAGTGATTCTCCTGCTTCAGCCTCCCAAGTAGCTGGGACTACAGGCACGTGCCATCTCGCCCAGCTAATTTTTTGTATTTTTAATAGAGATGGAGTTTCACTGTGTTAACCAGGTTGGTGTCGAAATCCCGACCTCGTGATCCGCCCACTTTAGCCTCCCAAAGTGCTGGGATTACAAGCGTGAGCCACCGCTCGCAGCCTCATTGATTTTTTGAAGGTTTTTTTCTGTCTCTATATCCTTCATTTCTGCTCTGATGGTAGTTATTTCTTGGCTTCTGCTAGCTTTTCAATTTGTTTGCTCTTGCTTCTTTAGTTCTTTTCACTGTGATGTTAGGGTGTCGATTTTAGATCTTTCCTCATTTCTCTTGTGGGCATTTAGTGCTATAAATTTCCCTCTTCACACCGCTTTAAATGTGTCCCAGAGATTCTGGTACGTTGTGTCTTTGTTCTCATTGGATTCAAAGAACATCTTTATTTCTGCCTTCATTTCATTATTTAACCAGTAGTCATTCAGGAGCAAGTTGTTCAATTTCCATGTAATTGTGCGGTTTTGAGTAAATTTCTTAATCCTGGGTTCTAATTTGATTGCACTGTGGTCTGAAAGACTGTTATTTCTGTTCTTTTGCATTTGCTAAGGAGTGTTTTACTTCTAATTATGTGGTCAAATTTAGAATAAGTGTGATGTGGTGCTGAGAAAAGCATATACTTTGTTGATTTGGGATGGAGAGTTTTTTAGATGTCCCTTAGTTCTGCTTGGTGCAAAGCTGAATTCAAGTCCTGGATATCCTTGTTAATTATCTATCTCATCAATCTGTCTAATACTGACAGTGGGGTGTTAAAGTTTCCCACTATTTTGTGTGGGAGTCTAAGTCTCTTTGTAGGTATCTAGGAACTTGTTTCATGCATCTGGGTGCTCCTGTATTGGGTGCATTTATATTTCGGATAGTTAGCTCTTCTTGTTGCATTGATCCCTTTACCATTATGTAATGCCTTCTTTGTCCCTTTTGATCTTTGTTGGTTTAAAGTCTGTTTTATCAGAGACTAGGATTGCCACCCCTGCTTTTTCTTTTCTTTTCTTTTCTTTCTTTTCTTTCTTTTTTTTTTTTTNGTTTATAATTATGTAATGCTCTGTCTTTTTTTGATCTTCATTGGTTTAAAATCTGTTTTGTCAGAAACTAGGATTGCAACCCCTGCTTTTTTTTGCTTTCCATTTTCTTGGTAAATTTTTCTCCATCCCTTTATTTTGAGCCTATGTGTGTCTTTGCATGTGAGATGAGTCTCCTGAATATAGCACACTGATGGGTCTTGACTGTTTATCCAATTTGCCAGTCTGTGTCTTTTAAATGGGGCAGTTAGCCTGTTTACATTTAAGGTTAACATTGTTATATGTGGTTTTGATCTTGTCATTATGATGTTAGCTGGATCTTTTGCCTATTAGTTGATGCAGTTTCTTCATAGTGTCAATGGTCTTTACAATTTGGTATGTTTTCGCAGTGGCTGGTACTGGTTGTTCCTTTCCATATTTAGTGCTTCCTTCAGGAGCTCTTGTAAGGCAGGCCTGGTGGTGACGAAATCTCTCAGCATTTGCTTATCTGTAAAGGATTTTATTTCTCCTTCACTTATGAAGCTTACTTTGGCTGGATATGAAATTCTGGGTTGAAAATTCTTTTCTTTAAGAATGTTGAATATTGGCCCCCACTCTCTTCTGGCTTGTAGGGTTTCTGCCGAAAGGTCCACTGTTAGTCTGATGGGCTTCCTTCTGTGGGTAACCCGACCTATCTCTCTGGCGGCGCTTAACATTTTTTCCTTCATTTCAACCTTGATGAATCTGATAATTATATGTCTTGGGGTTGCTCTTCTCGAGGAATATCTTTGTGGTGTTCTCTGTATTTCCTGAATTTGAATGTTGGCCTGCCTTGCTAGGTTGGGGAAGTTCTCCTGGATAATATCCTGAAGAGTGTTTTCCAATTTGGTTCCCTTCTCCCCATCACTTTCAGGCACACCAGTCAAATGTAGATTTGATCTTTTTGCATAGTCCCATATTTCTTGGAAGCTTTGTGCATTTCTTTTCACTCTTTTTTCTCTAATCTTGCCTTCTTGCTTTATTTCGTTGATTTGAAGATCACATAATTTTTTTAATGGGCAAAACATTTCAACAGATGCTTTATCAGTGTCTTCTACAGATGATTAGATATGTTAGGATGTTTTCAATTTTAAAACTAATATGCCAAGTGGTGGTGAGGATGCGGAGCCATTAGACCTCACATATGCTGCTTCTAGGAATGTAAAGTGGTGCAACCAGTTTGGAAAGTAGTTTGACAGTTTTTAAAAGTTAAACAAACTTACCATAAAACCCAGCCATCACTTTCCTATGTATTTACCCAAAATAAATAAAAACCTAAACATATATCACACAAAGACTTGTTTACAAATGTTGAATGCACCTTTATTCATAATGGCAAAAAGACTGAAACAACCTAAATGTCTGTAAACAGGTGAATAAATGAAGAAAAATTGCAGTAAACCCATGCAGTGGGCTACTATTCATCAGTAAGAGCAAACCACTGATGCATGCAATGGATAAATCTTTAAAAGAAGAAAAAAACTGTGTTGAGAGAAAAGCCATAAACAAAAGGCTCCATACTGTACAATTCCATTTATTTAAAACTCTAAAAGATACAAATTGACATACAGTGGCAGAAAGTAGATTAGTGATTGGCTGGTGCTGGGGTGGATTGAGGGAATGATGGGATTGACTGGAAAAAGGTAGGAAAACACTTGGGTGACAATGGAAATGTTCTGTATCTTCATTGTGCTCAGTAGAGGAATATATGCATTTCTCAAAAGTCATCAATCTGGACACTAAAAATAGGTGCATTCATTGCATGTAAGTGTTATGCCAATAAGATTTATTTTAAAAATTGTAATGGGAATGCAAGGAGAAGAAAGGGTAGATTTTGGCATATTTCTGTGTTAGAGTGGGAAGATTTTCAGTAGGTTTATATGCTGAGAGGAAAAGGCAGTGGAGATGGAGGGAGAATATACCAGAGGGCGCAAAGGACTGATGAGGCAGATTTCTCGGGAACAGGAAGACAGGGGTGCAATCCCGAGCACAGGTGGATAGATGAGCCGTGGAAGGGAGGAGTGAACACAAGCGCTCTGAGTCTGCAGTGGAGGAAAATGGTTGTATTATTAAGCTTGAACAAAGACAAATGTCATTTTGTATGTGGGAGAGTAGAAAGCAGAGGAAGTTCATGGCTCATTCAATCATTCAACCCTTATTTATTTTATGCCAGACACTGTATAAATGAAGATAGGAATATTCTGTAGGAAAGGATAATACTGTCTCTGCTCTCATAGAATTTAGAATACAGTATATGGGGGCATTAAACAATTAAAGAACTAAATGTATAATTACAGATTATTATGAATGCCATACAGGATAAGGAATCTATTAAAGAGTGCAACAGACGGGACCTAATTTAGACAGATGGCTCAGGGAGGGTCTCACAGGTAAAGTGGCTTTTCGGCTGAGAGGAGGAAGATGAGAAGGAGTTAGGTGATAAGTGAATGAAATGGCTTCAGATTTGGGTACATTTTGATACAGAACAATAATTATATGTGAATTTTAAGAGATTAATATAAAAAATGAAACCATAGAAAACTCCAAGGAAATATAAGTAAATTTTCAATCACTAGATATAGAGGACTCTCCAAGAGTGTGACAGATTTACCTACATAAAATTCAAGAGGTTTTTTTCCTCTATTTTTATTTCAAAACATATCGTAAACCAGGTACCAAATATTTGCAACAAATAAGTCAAAGGATTACCATCCTTACTACATAAAGAGCATGTATCAAACTGACAAGAAAATTATTAAAACATTAATAGAATCCAGTTAGTAGATCATCTTTCTAAAATGATTCATCCTTTGGTCATTTAGTTAAATTTATAGAATTTTAAAAATAAAAATAGACATAAAAAACAAGTTGGGAAAATGGAATAAAAATACAAGTAAAAGACATGCAGATTTTTGTGGAAGAGGAAATAAAAATGGCTATATAGATGAAAAAATAGTTTTATTTATAATCAAATTTTAACTGAAAAAATGAAATACTAGCAATTAAATAAGTAGTCATTGGGGAAAAATACTTATTGATGGCAAGGGTGCTATGAGAGGCACTATTTCTATGAAGATAATGGGAACATAATTGTTTATAAGCTTTTAATTAAAAAATTTGGAAAAATGCATCTGGAACCTCAAATATATTTCCTCTGATTCATTAATTCTAGTTTTAAAAGCTAACCCTAAGGTTATAATAAATAGCATCAATTATTTAAATTTTTTAAGTTAAAATCTTAATGGCTAACCATTTAACAGTGAAGGAATAGGCTGGGCACAGTGACTAACTCCTGTAGTCCCAGCACTTCGGGAGGCCAAGTTGGGCAGATCACTTGAGGTCAGGGGTTCAAGACCAGCCTGGCCAACATGGGGAAACGCTGTCTCTACTAAAAAAATACAAAAATTAGCTGGACGTGGTGGCCTTCCCCTGTAATCCTAGCTACTGGGGAGGCTGAGGCAGGAGAATCACTTGAACCTGGGAGGCAGAGGTTGCAGTGAGCCAAGATCACGCCAGTGCCATTGCACTCCAGCCTGGGTGACAGAGTGAGACTCCATCTCCAAAATAAAAACAAAAAATTGTGAAGGAATAAACAGTGATATTTCCTGAGGACAGGGGACTTTTACTACCAGACCAACCCAAAAGACCTCACGTTAGCTAATCCACTGCATCAATGCATCATAATAAAGGAAGGGTGCTGTGCACTGCACCTTCTAGAAGGCACATGTTCTCGAGGCAACAAATAGAAGATTTGTGTGTGCTCCAGCACCCATTTGAGAGGTGAATGAAAACCTACCAGGTTTCAGTGAGCTCAGAGCCTGAGAAAGCTCCGCTGCCAATCCAGTATGATCTGATTTTGTCCTTTAGATTTAATCATGCTTCCGGTGTCCATGGGCAGATGAACATACAGGAAGACCCCATGAAGGATTCACATTCATGACATGGTTTTGGTCATGCTTTGCCAGAGTCACCATCTGAGGACTTACTGGAGGTCTTATAAATAATTGTAGTTTCTTGCACAACATTGCTTCTAACCAAGGACCCCATGTTAAATAATGGGTTATAGCAGATGAGAATCACAGGTCTTACTGTGTGATGCCCAACACCCAGAAGCAGCTGGCCTTACAGAATAGTAGAATGACCTATTATACTTCACTCATGCCTCCAGTTAAATAAATGCTTTCAATATAAAGTGCTGCCTGTAAGATTAAGAATATTCTTTGAACCAGCTCAATATATGATGCAGTTCTTCCTTTAGCCAGAGTACATGAGTCAGGGAACTAAGCAGTAGAATTGAAGATGGAACACCTCACAAATACTCAATGACCTCTGTCCACAATTTTTGTTCCATGTCCCTGTTGTATAGAAAACTTAATACCCAATAAAGGAATTCTAGCAGCAAGAGACGAACAGTCCTGCAGAATTTTCCTGCAGAATTTGAAGCTTAGACTAGCAGCTAGTCGTTACAAGCACACAACAGGGTTTTTAGTCAGTGTGTCCAATACATGCATTCATTCATGACTAATGGTCCCACTTACCTCTTGTCTAGCGGTCACTGTGGTGACCAGCTTTGCATGTGCTCTGGCTGACTTTAAAGCAGCACTGTCAGATGGTACCCAAGCCTCTTGCCTCCTCTCCCTGGTCATCCTTGTTGGCACAGCTGTGAAGCCCTGCTCAGCACCCACACCTGAGCTTCCTGAACGCGTAGGTTGTTAACACACTGTAGGGCAAATCTTTGACCAGCGGGAGGCAAGAGCTGGTGGATAAACCTTCCACCTGCCTCTCCACTATGGAATGGTTCTTGAGACTCTCTTTACATGGATTTTTGGAGGATTGTTGCTTTGAATGAAGCAATTGGTCACACTTAACAGTGGTCAGCTCAGTACCACATCTTGATTTTCGCTGTCCTGTCTTTGCACTCCCCTTGCTTCTCATCATCCCATTTGGAATTAGATGTCTTAATAAAGTAACAACACATGAGCCCTAACCTGCAAATTCCACTTACTGAGGAACCCAGGCTGAGACAGCTAGCAATGTGCAAGGGGCATGGGTGAGCATGCACACATCTGCACACACACATACAGACACATACACACCTTGTATGATACAAATACTACTGAAATGTAAAGGAAGGTTTATTGAGAAAAACTTACAGTAAAGGCAGTAAAGTGGGAGGAGGAGGAAGAGAGTGCATATGGCATGATCCTTTAAATTCTTATTGTTTCATTTTGAGATGTTCTTGGATTGGGCACAGCTGGTCATGCTGCCGAAAGTCCGCCAGGAATGGAATCTTGTCCCTTTTGCTTTTTATATTTCTAAGGAGGTTGGGAGATAGAAACACCTGGTTCTACTACTATGTGATGCTGGGAGCATCCACAGCAAGAAAATGAGTAGGATCTGGAGCTTAGCTAGGGGAGTCTGCACACCAAGCCAGAGATTTTACATTCTTTGCTAAGCTGGCTCAGTCCTACCTACTCAGTTTACAGTTAAGCCTGCTAAAGTGGGAAGGGAAGCAAGTCACCAGAGGCCCTAAGCAAAAGATTTTTTCACATCGGGAATACTTTGCCACAATTTTCAAGCGGAAATAAAGTTGCTGCTGTGTAATGAGGGCAGGGAGGTGAATGCATGAAACCCAGAGGGACACTCTGGGCACCTCTTTTTATTGCCATGTCTAGTGCAAGTGTTAAGGAAAGATGACTGCATTTCCAACCAGGCAGGACCCAGAACTCAATTCTCCAGGAATGAAGATCAGATCCCCACTACCCCCTGCAAACCAAACCAAAAAGCCTAGCTCGAGGCCAGGTGCAGTGGCTCTCACGCCTGTAATCCCAACACTTTGGGAGGCTGTGATGGGGGAATAACTTGAGGGAGGCCAAGGAGGCGGATCACTTGAGGCCAGGAGTTCAAGACTGATCTGGCCAACATGGTGAAATCTCATCTCTACTAAAACAAAAAACAAAAAGCCTAGCCAGCTGAGGGCTGGCCTGAAGTGAGGAGACATGAAATGAATTACAGAGGGGCAAGTCAGAATCACAGCCATAGCCCAGCAGCAAGTGGCAGAACCAAGAACTGCAACATCCACTCGTGTTTCCCTTTTGTAAGATCACATGCATTTCTATGTTTTCATTTAATTCCCTTTGCTTCCCTGTAAAATTTGCGTTTAACGTTCTGCAGCTTCAGTCTGATGTGTCTGCTGTTTTTGCTTGTTTGTTTGTTTGAGACAGAGTCTTGCTCTGTCACCCAGGCTGGAGTACAGAGGCCTGATCTCAGCTCACTGCAACGTCCGCCTCCCGGGTTCAAGGGATTCTCCTGCCTCAGCCTCCTGAGTATGTGGGATCACAAGCGCCTGCCACTGTGCCCAGCTAATTTTTGTATTTTTTTTAGTAACAATGGGGTTTCACTATGTTTGGCCAGGCTGGTCTCAAATTCCTGACCTCAAGTGACCTGCCCACCTCAGCTTCCCAAAGTGCTGGGATTACAGGGATGAGTCACCACACCCAGCCTGCTGTTATATTTTGAATACTGCCTCTTCCCATCTCTCTACCCTCTCATTCTGGAGCTCCTATTCCACATCTATTGGATCTCATTCTGTCTTCCAGCATCTTAACTCTTATTTATATTTTGCCTCTCTTTTTTCTCTTATTGCTGTATTTGGTGAATATTCTGACTTCTGCCTTCTAGTTCAATAATTTTCTCAACTGCTGCTTTTAATTTCCTGTTTAACTTGTCACTGAATTTTTCATTTTAACAACTATGCATTTAAAAAATTTCTGAATATTATACTGAGTTCTTTTAAAAATTTGCTATTTTGTTTTCCTTTGTGCCTTGTATTCTTCTTAAGGTTTCAATTTGTATATCTTTAGTAATGATTTTGATCATTTTGAACTACTTTATTACAAACTATAATTCAATTATTTTAAGTTTGTGGGGTTCTAATTCTCCTATGGGTTTTTTTTTTTTTTTTTTTTTTTTTTTTTTTTTTTTTTTTTTTTTTTTTTTTTTTTTTTTTTTTTTTGCTTCAGTCACTCAAAGTAAATCTTTCTTCTTTTTATGTATTTTGTGATTTTTAAAAATTGTGACATCTTTAGAAAGTCTTTAAAAAAAATATGAGAATCCTTTTTGATCTGGTGTGGGAGCATTCCCCCAGAGACGTTTATGTTTTCTTCTGTCAGACACTCAAAGCTATTATCAGTCAGGGACCAATTTTTATGTTAACTTTCCCAGTTTTGAGACATCTGTACCACTGAGATAACGTGTATTCAAGTCAGGAAACCCAATCTAGGCACAGATTTGGTGTTATCACTTATTAGGAAAGTCTTTTTCTACCTAGAGCTTGGGCCGGGACACACAGCTTCCTTGTCATCTTCCTGCGTTGGTGAGTAGATTCCCCCTCCCCGCCATTGATGTAGTCAGAGGTTTTACTTCCAGCTCTCTGACTTTAGAGGACCCAAGTTCTCATGTCTTCTGTCTCTGCGGGTGCCGAGACATAGCTCCTAGATTGTTGAGCTGGAACTTTCAAGTGAGGCAATCATATCATCAGCTCATGTATTTCCATTTTAGCTTTCAGGTCCTGCTTGTTTTCTGGCCCCATGGGATGAAGCTTTCTTTATGGCAAGTTCAGTTATGCACTATGAATTCTCTTGTTACGTTTTACCCAGAATTTCTAGGTATTGGAATAGGGAGACTTTTTAGGTCTACTATTTTGCCAGAACCAAAATGCCAAAAAAGTCTTATAATGATGGTGAGTACCTGTTCTCCTATACTTAGAGCTATTTCCATGGGCCCTGCCTTTTCCTGAATGTGCCCTATACTTAGAGCAATTCATAGTTAAAAGAACAAGAAAATTCAAAGTTTTTATTATATGGTAATTTGTTAGGATGACACTACCATAATTACTATTTTGTTTGAAATTTGGTTCCCTCCCCAAGAAACAAACAAACAAAAAAACTGCTGGACTCAATGCTCCTGGAAATGAAAAAAATAACTTACCAAAGTAAAAAACAAAATCATTCCAGGTAGAATTTCCCTTTTCTTATTCCAGGGTACATAGAATTTGGGTTACTCTTGGAGACTAAAATTTACAAAACAATATTGGAGACCTGGCTTGTTACAATCAATGTGTGCCCTACCTTTGTTCCTACTCACTGTTATATTAAACAGGCAGCTGGGAAGTGCCGACCAGGGCCTAGCTGGAGTCAGGAGGAATAAGTGGCAAAAGATGACAAGCAGACACATTGACAAGAGGAGTCACATCAGGAAAAGGCAGGGCCCGTATAGATCACGGGTGACAATGGCAGCACAGAGGGTTCTTATAAAATCTCATGCAATAATGTGAAAAATATTCTGTCTCCTAGGAACCTGTTGGTTTCTTGAAAGGCCTCATTTACATGTTTCCAATCTGGTAGCGGTAGATTCAGTGGATATTAAAGGTCATAATAAGGAAAGGATTTTAAGCATAAATACCACAAGAACACCATTTCATATTTTTTTCCTTAGGGGAAACAACTTAGTCTAAAGAAGTGTCTGTATACAAAAACATGAGCAAATAAACCAAGATAAGTGTTAAAAGAATTTGTACTTAATTTTCCAGGATCAAAGTACTGACTCTGGGAGCATCTATTCCCACAAGCAGATTTCACTGGAGATGCTACATATAAGGTTACTAATGGTGATAAGAACACTATATCATTTTTTTGACCTTTTAACTCTATTTTAGTGTTAGTGAATCTATAGAAAAAGAGCATAGCACAGGCCCAAGGTCCAGGGAAATGACTGGAGGATGATTTTAGGAAAAACAAAAGGTTAAGCATCCCGTTAATGTCAGCTTGCTTTCTTCTGTCATTGATTTTCACCCTTAAGACCTTGCCATTGGCCAGGTGTGGTGCCTCACGCCTATAATCCCAACACTTTGGGAGGTTGAGGTGGGTGAATCATGAGGTCAAGAGTTTGAAACCAGTCTGGCCAATATGGTAAAACCCCGTCTCTACTAAAAATACAAAAATTAGCTGGGCACGTTGGCACGCACCTGTAGTCCCAGCTACTCAGGAGGCTGAGGCAGGAGAATGGCTTCAACCTGGGACACGGAGGTTGCAGTGAGCCGAGATTGTCCCACTGCACTCCAGCCTGGGCAACAGAGTGAGACTCCATCTCAAAAACAAAACAAAACAAAACAAAACAAACAAAACAAAACAAAACACTGTCCTCATTGTTTTTCTTATCTACCAATATAGCCTATAGCTTGCAGTTTATCAAGTTGGTGCTCATGGCTCCAGAGAACAGAAAACCTGACTCTAGCCTAAACAATAAGGGAATTTATTA